CATATACATAAATACGTATCTATGTATACATAGACACGCGAATATGCGTAGATATGGAAATTGGAAAATTTGAATATTGTAATCCGTTACACAAGCCATGTCACTACTACATTATCTCGGTACATATCTAAGTTATAATGTACAGTGAACGCGATGGTCTTTTGGATCGATGTAACGGACTCCAACGAGTTATCAGTTAAGAAAGCATGTTTTCAAGAGCATAACATTGATTCATGATGATAATATTATTAATGATATACCAGGAATTGATAAATATTATTGAATGTAAACATATTACGCGTATCGCGTATATCGTTGATGTCCGGTATTAATCGACTTATTGCAAATTGCTTCTGAGAAAACCTATTATTGTACAAGGAGCCGCGCACTGATGTTTTCCATGTAAATATCAGAATGCAAAGAGCGGACCAATCAATGTAAATTTCAGCCGTTTGCGGTCAGACAAACGCTAACGATCCAGCAGCACTGGAAGACTTGGCCATCGATCGTTACCGCCTTCGAAACGGCCGTCTTAAGAGCGGACTTCGCGAGCCCTATTAGAATATTCCGGAGATAAGACTCCCAATGACCGTCATTAACCCCCCGGGGCAGGAAGCCGGACGCAGGAAGTTGCTACCGCCGACTCCGGCCGATCGCGTCGATATCAAATCGACCGCCGCCGACGAAAATCCCGAGTTTAACTTCGGCGGAGAGAGAAATGTCAAAGGAAACGGCGGAGGCCGTTCGCGCGCGAAAATACCAGCTTGGCCAGGGAAGAGCGCAAGAATGTTGGAAACTCCCGCATTTGAAACTCAAAGACGAAGTATTTGAGAATTAAGGATCGCGCAATCGCCACCGGGGTCTTGGCTCGGGAAACGGAAAGCCGGAAACTACGAGAGCTTGGCCTTTCGATTATACCGGGAGGGTTTTTAGCGGACACGTGCGCGAGATAGCGCGATCCTAATAGCGCGAGCAAAGGGGAAGTGGTCTTTGAACCTGGACGTCCTGGCAGCGGCAATAAATCAAACGTTTTCTTATTCCTATCCCCGGAGCGATGTGCCATACACAAGAGGCCTTTTTGCACATAGAACCGAGTCGTTCCGTCCCATCTTGCGGTCGAGTTACTGCTACGTTCCACTTTTAAAGCATTTCCTGTGAATCTTTGCAGCGCCAATGGTGGAATTACGGTTACAACTAAATAATCTTGCGCATAGGACTGATAATAATTAATGAGAAAAGTAATAATATTCGAATAGCTATTATAATGTTGAAAACGAGACGAGTGGAATTTTTACATAAAAATCTCTTTTGTATCAATGAAAAAGCGTAGTTTAGAGCGTTAAATTTGAATGTGATGAGACATTTGGGCATTGTGTAATTGTGTACTTATTTACATTCCGGTTACTATTATACACACGCGAAAAAGATCAGAAATCAACGGGAAAAATCAGAGATTTTACTGCTGCAGCAGAAGCGATTTTAAATAGAGATAATTATATGCGGGCGAGAAAGCGTGGCTATTTACGATTGTATCGTGTATACACCCGCCAGATGTCGATTTCGCGCACTAAATCGCATTACATTGCAAGCGATATACGGTCATTCCCTCGTGCCCGACACAGCGATATTGATAATATAATAATTATGATTGCTATGCATTACGAATGGGCTTGTACCGCGCAAAATATCACATCTAGTGATTTTGTTTTGAATAACTAATGGGCAAGAAAGTGATAGTAATGATGATTGCAAATCTGCTGATTTTCTTTAATAATAAAAATTAATTAAATAATAAAAAAATTATATAGTTGCAAATATTAATATAAAAAATTATGATGTAGTAAATGTATATTTAAGCTAATACGCAATCGTATTATTATTAACTTATGTAACATTATTATTAATATTGTATCATTATAAATGTTTTGTGATGCTTAGCTGTATAAAAATAACATTGTTCACAATTATATCAAAAGAGATTTTTACTCTTTCTCACATCAATGACTTGCAAGAAACGTGAATGAGCGACGTTATAAAGAACGCTATGGAGGTCGGATACTCTGCGTTTGGTCTCATGAGTTTACGTTGATGCAAAAGAAGTAAGACTGACGCTGAAAGACGGCGATTAAAACTGTCTACCGGCATTGAAATTTATTCTAACCGGTTGCATTAATCCCAGAGCATAGTGGAATAATTTAGAGAAAATAGAACCGTTTATGAGCAACAATACGACGTAGTCTCTGGCAGGCGCGGACGTTGCTTTGACAAGTAATTTACGAGGGAAAGAGGACATCGGATAGAGTAAATTCATGGTGAATTTACCAGAGAAAATATCCGGACGGAAAAGATAATTTGCGTATTTGTTGTATAATATAAAAACGTTTAAAGAAAAATGCGATAACATATAAGAATAGACGTGTTTAAAATATGAAACATTATACAGAGATATTAATGAGCAAAATTTGGAGCTTTAGTTTTTCCATTTGTATTCTGTAATAACGCTGAATGAAGATCGATAACTTTCTTTAACGTTTAATCGTCGTACTTGAGTTATCCACGTGGAAGCCGGCGCGGCGGGAAAGAAACGTGGGATTTTTCTCGCTGTAATAGATTTGTCGTTGCCGCTCCAACCATTATTCTCTGCCTGCTGAAAGCAGTGAGAAGAGAAATTTTAGGTATTCCAACATTGGTTTTATCTTCAGCTAAAAGAACTGTATCCGTCTTACCGATTGGATTGTTCGTCGATCCGTATTGACCAGAGGAATTTAATTATACGATGCGCATTTCGGATGCAGACAAACCCGGCGGAAAGTTTTATACCAATGTATCTGCTCTAATCCCTATCATTGTTTACCCTGTCTTTCTGCTTTACCGTATCCGTTCGTTACGATTGGCAGCCAGTAAAACGCTGCCATTGAATCGCTCTACAATTCGATAACTTACTACTTTTAATCGTAGCCAAAAATTGGTCAACTAACCGAGAGATAATTTGCGTCTTACATATATTTTTCACGGATCAAATTTTCTAATTATATAAGCAAGATCGTAACGTAATATTCCTAAGTCTTTAAAATAATCTCAAACCCAATTATTAAACGAGTACTGCGTAATCATTGTAAGCAATCTATTTCGTCTATTAAAATTAAATTTTTTTCTATATGTAAAAAAAACTTGTTTCTCAACTCATTTCGCAGAAATAAGCTCAACTTGTTTTTCAGAAATAAGGAACCCTCGACGTAAGTGCGCGATCTGAATTCTTAAGGTTGAATTCTTAAGGTGATCGTTAGAAATATTCATAAGCCACGAAAAGCCATCGGGCTAAAGCGATCGATCGAGGACTAGCGATTTACACGTCGTTATATAAAAGTTTGTATCTCACCTCGTCGTCGCGATAAATTCTTCGATAACTTTGACGAAGCTGGCTTATGGGTGTCGCCGCGTCGCCGTCGTATATACCGTACTACCTACTCAACCACAGACTACAGTCCAAGTTTTTCACCGCGCCCATCATATTTTATAAACATTCTTTTAAGTGGATCTGAAAGGCACCATTAAGGCTGAAAGGCTAAAAACATGGGCCGAGAGATGCAGGAAGTATCTTATAGATCGATACGTTTCTGTTCAAAGAGTCGCGAAATTTTGCTGGAGATTGAAAAAGGTAGAGGCTAGTTATCGAGGATTTACTCACACGACAGTTAATTTAAAAAAAAAAAGCAATAAAAAATGCATTAGCTTATGCAACTATATGATCAATGCTCATAGAGTCAACAATATCTCGTTAATTCAAATACATGTTATCGCCAAATGAATTCAAATATATGTTAATCGCCAAAGAAAATTATTGTGTATTTTCATAATATTGTAAATTTCGCGAGAGTCTGTGGTTGCGGCAAACCTTTAATAAGCTCCTCGTACAAGACACTTGTTCTGGGAGAGAGTCTATGCCTAACTACAAAGAACTTCCATAACTTACTTGTTTGAGATTTTGTAGCGGGAGAGGCGCTGCGGATAATGGACAGTAAGAAATATGGTGTACGAGAACGTTACGGTGTATAATGAAGCATCGCATCCAGAAGCAAGCGCATCTACTTAATTTCGACGCATTCAACTTTCGCACGAGCACTGTATTCTTTACTATATATATACTCGATAGACAGATTTTATGGCGTATTTTCCTATTAATAATATTGATGATGATGGATATCGTTGAAACTTTTAACGCGGTATTAACTTTTAACAAGCCACTCGTCCCTCAAACTTCATCCCGATGCAACAAAGCTTTTATTCTATCATCATCCTTCAATATAATGGATGATCTAGAATGCAAAAATGTTTAAAACAGTATTAATTGATACATTATATTGATACATTATACATGTTAATAATAGAGTGGAGAACAACGGTCTTATATTTACTATCTACTTTTAATATTATGGATTTAATAAAAATAATGAAGTCAATTTAATATATAAAGCCTCCAGAATATTTTAATCTTGCTCAATAACATATATTGATGCATGTATATTTATGTCTCTATAGATAATAGTAGCGATCATATTTTACTAAAATTGATAAAACAGAGATTTTTGAGGCACAATATCGTCATTTTCTACTACTGGCATAGAAATGGCCATCGAGTTTGCGAAGCTCGTAAGCTTTATTTACATCAGCCGGTAACGTTTTGCTTTTAACTGATCTTCTGTAGATAGATTTTTTTCTATGATATTCAAGAAATTGTTTAATCAAAATATCAAATAAAAATAGATAGATTAATAAACTATTAATAATAAAACTATTAATAATAATTAATTTATTGAAAATGATAAATTAATACATGTAGAATTAACGAGTTTACGTACAACTGAATACTTAGAAAGAACGTAAAAAAAGAACGGTTTTAATTGAATTTTTCAAGAAGGAAAAAATAATAGGAGAAAATAATAGAACTCTGACAACGTAGAAATACAATATTTATTTTAATATCAATATCTATTCTTCGTTTATAATCTTATAATACTGATCTTATAATACTGACACAGATTTATTCAACGGATTCGCATTCATAACAGTACTGTCGTATTAATCAAAAGCACGTATTTTGTTGAGCTCGAAGTAATATACAGAAATATATACATCAGAAGTACGTGTACGTCGAAGTACGTGTAATTTGATGCGATGCAAACTTAACATTAGTAATGGAGTTTCACAGAGAATAATTTTGCCACATGTAAATAAGTAAACTGGCAAACACAACGCAGAGCTCAGTAAAAGCTGTGTAACAATTGGTACGTGCCGCATTCCATTGATCGTGATGGACAGCAGCTTGTTTTTCACCTGCAATCCAAAATAGACAAATAATACAATATCCTACTTACATCTAATATTATGTCTACTTAACAGAAACGTTTTGTTGAGAAGCTATATTAATTATATTTAACTTATTTATCTTAAATTATATTTATCTTAAATTTTTTTTTTAATATAAAAAATAAACTACCTAGAATTCTAGACGTACTTGTCTCGGAAATTATAAATTTTTCATGTACATTAAATGTCTTTTGAAAACGTCTATTTAAGGAAAATAAGAATACTGAAGAATACTCGATGACATCGAGAATATAACGATATTTGTGTTCGCTAATCCCGTATGTTTGGTGACTCTTTATTTAATTTACCATTTAGGACGTGAATATGCACCGCGGTCGTGCTGAATTGGCTTACTGAGCACGTATATTCCCCGCTGTCAGTCTTTTTCGCTCGTTCGATGTAGAGCCTCGTCACCAGATCTTCGTTTGACCTGAAAAATTGGATGCTATTTACTCGACGTATACATATACGCGCAATGTTTTCATGATATCTATAACACTATTGCATTGTCTGCTGAATTTTAACGATAAAAAAATTAAAAAAAATGTATTAGAGTACGTAATCTCTTTGGAGATGCACTGCAAATCCAAGTTATTTTAGCTGAAGCTTTTCTTATACATTTCTTGCCGTTTTAAATCACGTCATTTAACACAATTGAACGTATTAACTTTTCATTTAATACGTGTTAAGCGACGTAATTTAACACATAAAGAAACATGTAAAAAGAGTCTAATGTGTCATTTTTATACGTTTAAGCGTGTAAAAGTAACACACTTGGATTTGCAGTGTGGTCAGATACATTGTATAGCTATACGTATATTTATGTGCGTCGGAAATGTGACGATGCATAAATATTCTACGAGATACCGAGCGCAACCGACTTACGGACATTGAATAAAGAATTGCATGATAATACAAATGCCACATAAACGTACATGTAATGCGGGCACAAAAAGTAGCCTTTGAATACTAATTCAACCGAACTTGAGCTCCGCGTGTCTGTCGCTCACTGCGAGAATGATAAAATTCGCGGGAAGATTGCTCCAGTTCTGTCTAAACTGAAAGAGAGATAAATTTTGAATGCGTGTCGTAGCGAATCTCGAGGTAGATCAATCGCGGCGGTTTGAGTCGCACAAAGCGTGCTATCGCTCGTCAACGCGTACGCCCTCCGGGTTTAGAAGGTAATACCGTCGACGTTACGAGAGGATGAGAGAACGAGCTACGTGTATTTGCGAGTAGACAATGTCTGTAGTGCGCGCACACGTGCGCGCGCGTGTAAATCTAGACTCGGTCGTACATCCGTCTCCGGACGAGCTCCTCTTCGATCCATCGCTACCTCACGATATATGCTCACCCATTAATGTGATAAACGTTGACGTGATCCGGCAACGTCTCGCCATTTTTTCGCCACACGGGATACGGCACCCTCGAATCGGGGCAGGACGGCCGGACGACGCACGCTAGCTCGATTCCGCTTCCGGTCTTGTAATATCGGTCCCGTAACTCATGTCTGGCTTCGTCGATGATTCTAATATCCGGCGCTGTAAAGGCACAAACATACTACTGAATAATAATCTGTGATCGATGAACTTTTCTATATTTCGCTTTTTACGCATTTTCGTTTTTTCGATTACGTACGCATATAGCTACGGAGAACACGTGTAATTTAATAATCAAACATATATAAAACGTTATGGTCGTATGAAATTCATATTTGATAATATCAAATATTGTAAATCTCATCCTGAAAATTTGCGAAAAGAGAGTCTTGCTTTCTTTCATGTTTGCGTTTTATTTCTTGCAGTTTGCAGAGTTATGTAATTAATATTTATATCTCGTAATTGAACCAGAGTAAAGAGACAGCTAGTATCGCTGGAAGGCACCCGCGAGTAACACGCAGAGATATTGGCACATGTATAAATCTATTTGTCGAGATGCGCGAGGGAAGAGAGATGAAATAAAGTTGCATCGTTGCTATTGCAAAGAGTCGCACTACGTGATACAACTGCGGCTGGCTTGTTTCCAGGCGGGATGGCGTAAGATATTCTCACGGTAATTGAATCTTTACGAGAGAGGAATTTAAATTCGCGACTGTTCCGTTTAGGTGCGCCGCGACAGCCAGCAATTCGTAACGTATACGTTAGGATTTGGTGTACCCCGAAATGGAAAACAATGCATGTATCTCGCGGCTACCGATGTCACCGTATTATACCGATGCTCCGGTAATATATCACTCAAAAATATCCGGAGGGCACACGTAGATTTCAGGTCAGAGTTACGCGTAAAAAGTGTAAGCATCCTACAAATCGATAGAATTCTATGATTTATTTTCTCGTGCCTTTTATCACCCTTTCTCCCTCTCTCTCTCTCTTTTTTTCTCTTTAAAATATAGACAGAAATAAAACGCGACACGTGTATATATTACAGAAGCAAATAAAATACGAGATGAGAATATGACTGAGAAAATTCATGTATAATAATTTATCTTAAAAAGCAATCTCTCTTCCACCGTAGTGTTAAAAATTTATATTTCTGGCATTATTTATACCGAAACTTTAATTTCTCGTCACGTTTCGTTGAGTAATATTCGCCAAATCGTACCACATTTCCGATGTTTATACCCACGGGTTAATGCATACCGCACTGCCGCGCGTAACTGTTTATATTTCGTTACGTAGATGTACTGTGCTAGATATATCTCACGAGCGTACACATAGCAAACAATCTCGAGCGCTTCCGTTTTTCGGCGCGAACTGCGGTTTGATGTAAAATACGGATGATCGACCGATGAGCGGATTTGTTTTATCTAAAGAAAAAATGGCGAGCCACAGCACTAGTGATTAGCTAGGAGAGCAAAGTAAGGCCAATTATACAAAAGAAATATTATCAATAAAAGGTTTTATGATATTGGCAAAATATACTGTTATCTTTTCTCATGTTTACGCAATTCAAGAGTTATAACGACTGCGCTGTTATTACATTTTTCTCATTATCGATATAACATGCTCGTATCGAGTAAACCATTTCTGTATCTATGTACATATCTGCAGTTTTGTCGACGACTTTTTTAATTCCCTTGTAAAAACATGGCATTACCAAGAACGGTAACGTTCGTGACCAGCATTCTCGGCGGATGCGTATTCACTTGGCAAACGTACACTCCGTGATCTTCTCTCTGTATACCGGAGATGGCCAATCTCCAATTGTTTGGATACTGAAAGCTCACGCTGTATCTTGAGTCCGATATGTGGGTAGTGTTCCCGAGAGTTAAGAGGGACGCCCAATCGGTATTCCGTCGTAACCACATTACCTGGAGTCCACAAAAATATTTATCCATCGTGTTAGTATCCGATCATGTAGCGCGAAATGCAGTAAGTAAGCAGTTACGATACAAGTACGATTAGATAAGATAGTTAAATAGTAAAGATAAGTAATGAAGTGGTAAAATAATTATTACTGACTGTTATTCTGCTATTCTGATTAATTACTCTAGACTTAGACTATTTTATAATTATTTTCTGATAGTAGAATAGTAAAAAATAGATTTAAATTACTTAGATATTACGTTGTTATTCTAGTCACTTGCAATAGTGTCGACTCGATCGTGAATAATTTAACATAACACACACCTTTTTGCCAGAGAGCATAGCGACGCGACAGTCAAGATAGGCTGTTGCACCTAAGTGCAATGCCACATTTTGCGAGCCGTTGATACCCTGACCATCTGCATTTTCGAAATACGGATCCCAATCCGTGACACGGTGATGCCTCAAACGCGGAATTCGCAGGGGAGGCAGATTGGCGATTATTTCTGAAACATATCGTCAGATGAATTATTAAATTATTCTCTTGCTTCTAAATTATTAAAATATTTTTTTTTAGTATCAATGACGTAATAACGATTTGTATTTCAATATTTGCGTTGCAACGTTTTTCTCGTGTTATTAGTACTCTAACGCATCGATTAGCCTTTAAATGGCGAAAGGTTGTATCGTTAGCATTGTAAGAAGCGTAGGATAAAAGCCTCTCGAACTGTGTTCTTCAAGAGACAATCTTGGCAAGATTTTCACGTGAGCCGCCGGCATTCAGTTTGAATGGCGCAGCTAGAATGGGATTCTCGTAAAAATGTGAAATTCTTGTTGAAAAGCACGAAAAACTCGAGTATGTCATATAAGTTGGAATAAATTGTTCACTTTGCTGATCGTTTTATGTCTTCACCATCTGCATTTCTATTCACTCAGAATGAAAAACATTACATATCGAAGTGCTTTCAGATTTGCGCGTGTATCCAAATACCCAGATTTGAGTATATCTTATTCGATTATATCCTTATAACAAGTTTAAAATCTGTACATGATTTACTAGGGAGTAAAGACGCTTTTTTCCCTTTATCCTACATTTTTTAAATTTTATCAACAACGTGGGATAAGACAAATAATATTTAATTATTATCATGGGAAATTCCATTTTTTTATGAGAAAACTAAACAAGCGCGAAAGAATAAAGAGGCGCGAGATAAAATTGCAGTCGCGTAACCTTTTGACCCTTTATTTCGCACGTTTCGTAACCGCGCGCGAAGGTTTTGCTCGAGCTTACGAAGCACTCAGAAATTTTACGGATACTTGAAACACAAAAGGTACAATTATGCTATGATGGTGAGCAGGTGGCTTTACCGTAACAAACGATACAATGTTGGAAAGTTGTGGGGAGAAGGTACCTGCCATACTTTTTATTCTGACATCATTTCTTTATTGCACTTTAGATATTGTTCTATAGCCCGGTATAAATTTGAAATTTTTGCATTATTTAAAAGCGACACGAAATATCAATTATCCAAATACTATAAAGAATAGAATATTCAGAGAGAATATATACGGCAAAAATACGATTAATATAATTGATAAAGATATAATATTAATTTCATTTCTCTCTTATTAAAAATATTTTTGTCACTCTTTTGTTAAGCCTCTTAATTACGAGACCGTGAGTTAACATTAGCTACGAAATTTGTGATATCTTCGAAAATTTCCATGAGCAGAAGGTAAAACCCTATTAAAATGGTAAAACTGCCATAACTCTTCAGTTTCTCTCTCTCGCTCGTAATCCTGAAAAAGGCATTTGTGAGAGAATCTTTCGGATCCGTGAACGACCGATATGTTCTCGATGAGCGTGTAACGGCGCTTTCTTACGATCCGGAAGTCCACCGAGGTCAATCCCTGATTTTCTTCGTGGCTATCGAAAAAATCGGATATCCAATACTGCGAGGTTGCGTAGAGGGATACAGTTGTACAATTTTACACTGCAGCGAAAAGTTCATCTTTCGTTCTCTTTTAGACACAAAAGCAGATTCTTTTGCCGTCGTATACACACCCTTTGCGAGATCGCGGAAATTGAAAACCTATTTCTTCTTACTTCGTGCAATTTCGGAATAATCTTCACAGCAGTTGAGAAAGGATGAAATATGAAAGTTCAAAGGAGATACAGAATGGTAATACATTGTCAAGAGATGATGACAACATCGCGAACTCAAGATCTTGAAAAAAAAAAGACGGGGGATAAGTACTGAATTTCTGGCAGACTGCACGACAAAAGACCTTTTGAATTAATCTAGGTCAGCCAAACAATCAGATTCATTTCTGTGTGCTCCATTTCTCTCTTAATTTACATATTCCATATAATTATTTCCTATATATTTTTGGTTTCCTTATAATAAAATTATATATAAGCTTTGTATTGATTTGTAATACATTTATAAAGAAAATAATATTTATTTGAAATGTCCATAGAAAATTATTATACATATTCCTTACAGAAATTTAATACTGCAAGTGATTATTTGGCTAGTGATTAATTACTTATTTTAAATATTAAAAGCATTAAAAACATGCTTTAATACTCGAAATAAGTAATTAATCACTAGCCAAATAATCACTTACAGTATTAAATTTCTGTAAAGAATGTGTATATACGATTTTTTAAGATATTGTCAAATATCCTATTGTCGCTGTCGGTGCGATTGCGATAAATGATTTTTCATCGCTATGCATCTTTAGAACCGGAATCCCGGCCATTTCATGACTGATCTGATCTGTTCTGGTCGGCGAAGAAAATTATCCATCCGTTATTGATTCGATTATGCGGGAGCGCTCGGGGTTAACGAGAGAGAGGACTAAATGTCTGCGACACAATGACTACCTTTGTCCCTTTCAGATTTCACAGATCGCACCTTAATCAAATGAAAAAGTTAAAGGATCGGAGCTCAAAGAATGCTCGATTCATTCTGAAATATCACAAATCATTCGTCTTCATTTATTAATTCTCGGAACGGTGCAGTTTGTCGCGTGTCAAATCAACAACATTGTATTTAATTAAATGAGTGTACACTGCAATTTGATTGATGTTTATCGTTATATTGTTGTTCCTATTGTTAATACATTACTAATGATTGAAGAGCAGAAAATGTTAATCCGTTTATCTATTGATTGAATGTACACAGTTCGCTGAAACTAACTTAATGCATCTTTA